CCCCCCCCCCCGGCCGGGAGACGCACCCAACAGAGGCGCGCGCCCATGCTCCGGCTGTCGCCCGGCGCCGGCGGTTTTTCATATTGTCCAAGTCGGCACATTAGCCGATGAGCCACTTTAGGGGTCGCCCCGACCGGGGGGGTGTTCGTGCGGCAATATGGCCGCCGGGTCGACATGCATCCGCATGTGCCACGGATACCCCCGAACCGCCCGCGGCCGTGTGCCTGCCCACCCCCCGCCCCCGCCCCCCCCTCCCAGGTCCCGGCGGTCTTCTTAACGGACAGGCTGCTCCCATGCCGGCGGCCCCCGCCCCCGGAGCACGGCCCGCCTCCGGGGCTCGCGAAAACGCCCCCCCCCCCCCCGGCTCAGCCAGGCAGAGCGTTCGCCGGGAGGCACTTTATTTGGCCACCCACACAGCGTGGGAACGGCCGCCCTGGGGTGGTCGTCCACCGCCGGGCCGGTGTGCGGCTGGAATGCCGGCTCGGGCTTTGACTTGCCGACGGAGCACGGAGCAAATTCCCCCCTCCCCCCCCCCAGGTCGGGCAATAGGGGCGGGGGGACGGCAAGAGGGGCGCGCACGGGGAGAAGAATAAAAGAATGAGCCCCAGCCCCCGCGCCCGGGCACCGCACGAACGGCGGCATGCTCGCAGACACACTGGCGATCTCGGCCGGGCCGCCGGGACGGGAAAAGACAGCGGCACAACGCCCGCAAGTGGGATGTCCTGGCGGGGGCCGGGCGGCGGGCGAAGCGACCGGTCGGCCAGGCACCTCGAACCCGGGGCCGGCAAGCCGGGCAGCGGGGAGAGGAGCGCAGGGCTCTCCACGTGACTCCGAGGACAGGCCCGGTGGCGTGATCACGGCCTGGTGCCGGACCGGCCGCGGCGGACTGACCGCCGGCCGGGGAGAAACACCTCCCGGATGGGGAGGGGGCCTACACGGGCACACATGCCAGTGGGTGGGAAGGAAGGAGGAACACCGGGGGTGCCAGCACAAAAGCACATGTGGGGGGAGGGGGGTCCATGCATGCGAGCTTGGATGGCTGGAAATGGGAAAGTACATTGACACGCGGACAAGACGCATGCACGGGAGGAGACACGAAGGAGAAGGGGCATGGACATGGATGCCTGTGTGTAGGTGGGCGTGGGCAGGTGTGTGTGTGTGTGTGTGTGTGTGTGTGTGTGTGTGTGTGTGTGTCCTGGCGCGCGCGCGCGCAGCATGGGAGATCAAGAGAGCCAGGAAGAGCGGCAACATGGAGGAGGGCCGGACGCGCGGAAAGGCGACGAAGGGGGCTGCCCTCGGGGACCTTTTGCCGACGACCGGGGGATCAGAGATCGGCCCAGTTGACCTTCCGGCGGCCAGCCGCCTCCAGCAGGTTGTTGGTCTTGGAGAAGACCTTGCAACCGAAGAACCTGGCCGCGCTCAAGGGCGAGGGGTGAGCAGACTTGACAATCTTGTGCTTGGGCTGGGAGAGCAAATGCGGCAGGGGGTCAGCAAGCGCACGCGAGGCGGAGGGACGGGAGGGGGGAGGCGAGAGAGGAAGACAGAACGGAGTGTGGGAGGGGGAGAACAGCGGCGGCGGCGGCGGCGGCGGCGATCAAGCGGCCGAGGAGGCCAGGCGAGCCCGGCGATAGGCAGGAGGACGGGCAGCGCACATTGCGAACGAGAGTCTCAAAACGCTGGGCCTGGCGACCCATCAGCAGGAAAACCACCGACAGGGGGGCCTTCTCGTCGATGGCCTTGACCACGGCCGAGGTGAATTCCGCCCACCCGGAATCGACGTGGGAGTTGGCTGCACCATGCGGCCGGCCAGGGAGAAGAGACCGGACAAGGGCAAGCGAGGAGGGAGAGGGGGAGAGGGGGGGAGAGAGAGAGAGAGAGAGGTCAGCAGGGCAAGGAGGGACACCAGGCGGGGGGGGGGGGGGGCGGCAGCCCATGGACGCACACTCCTTCTGCCGGACGGTCTGGATGGCGTTCAGGAGGAGGACACCCTGGCGGGCCCAGCCATCCAGGCACCCGTGGTTCGGGATGACGGGGAACTCCTCGGGCAGATCGTTGGACAGCTCCTTGTAAATGTTCCTCAGGGAGGGGGGGATCTGCATGCCGCGCGGGACACTGAACGACAGGCCGACCGCCTGGCTGGGATTGATGTAGGGATCCTGGCCAATGAGGACCACCCGGATGCCGGTGTCCGAGCCCGAGTCGTCGAAGGACCAGGGGGACAGATGCGACCAGTTGAAGATCTTCTCCGGCGAGGGGTAGACGATGCTGGTGGCGTACTCGTAGCGCAGGAAGTTCGCGAGCTACACACATACCACCGGCGGGGAATGCACATGGGGGAGGGCGGTTAGACACGTCGGGCGCCGAATCGCGAACGCCTTTTAGGAGGGAGCCAGGGGACCCGCAAGAGGGGCATACACACGGGGGTGCGGGGGTGTGGGGGTGTGGGGGTGTGGGGGTGTGGGGGTGTGGGGGTGCGGGCGTGCGGGCGTGCGGGCGTGCGGGCGCGCAGGCGTGCGGGCGCGCAGGCGTGCGGGCACACAAGCACACAAGCACACAAGCACACAAGCACACAGTCACACAAACACACAGTCACACAGGCACACAGGCACACATGCACACAAACACACAGTCACACAGGCACACAGGCACACATGCACACAGTCACACATGCACACAAGCACACATGCACACAAGCACACAGTCACACAGTCACACAGGCATACAGGCATACAGGCATACACACCCTCTGGAAATAGGGCTTCGGGAACTCGCTAGCCAGGACCCGCGCCCAACCGGCCTCGATGGTCAGGCCCTGAGCAAAAGAATGCCAGATGTCTTGCTGGGCAGCGCCAGCCGGCTCGGCCTTGTCGGCGGGGTCGGCCTTGTCGGCGGGGTCGGCCGTGCGCATGACCTTGGCAGGGGGCTGCATATAACCCAACATGGTCCCGGACAAGAGGGCCGTGCGCTTGCGCGATCCGATGTCCGTGTCGCCGATCGTGTCACCGCCATCCGGGCCGGCAGATGCCGACGCCGCTCCGGCCTCCTCGGACTTGGCCTCCTGACTGCCGGCCGGCAGAACGCCCGGCGCGGACAACGCCCGGATCAGACGCTGGGTTGACTCGCTGTGCGCCAGCACCGCGGACAGCTGGTGGCGGAGCTTGTTCAGACCGCTTTCCTGCTCCTGGATTTGCTGAAGCAGCAGCTGACTCGACTGGCGGAGGGACTGCGAGTGCTTTTGCAACTCGCGGAGGATGCTCGCGGGATCGGACATGACCGAAAGGAGGAGGGAGGCCAGACAGAGAGGGAGGGATGCAGCGGAGGGATGACGGACGGTGCAAGGGGCGACGCGGAACCAGGCACGGAATAATGATAAAAATAATGCAACGAGCGGGGAGGAGATTCGATTGGTAGCGCGGCCTCTCCACGCTCGGTGCCGACGCCTGAGCTGCCAATAAAGGGGC